ACCCATAGTAAAACACGTCTGGATAAAGTAGCAATTAACGGTTATAAACGGTGGTGATTGTGCGATACGTCTCAGCGAAGGTGATGGGGTTATTGCGAGATTCTATCAGTTCTCAAAAGCAATTTCTCTTTATCATTAAAGTAATTTCTTTTCTGTTGTAGCCTGTCTTTCTTCATTAAATGAGATAAACTGATTTATAACGTTTGATTTAATTCTCATTAAATACGTTGCATGTCATAATAAGTGGATTTTTTTAAAATCATTATAAAAAATTATTTCCTGTTTGTGATGAAACTGTCGCCGGAACTTAATTCGGTTAGTTTATTCAATGTCATTTTCAAGGACATGTTTACAACAATTATTATATTGTACATGTTGAGATAATAACCCTTAATAATCGTAATCAGGAAAATGAAATTGCGTTTCAGCAAACACTAGCTTTGAAATCAAAACACATGAAAGGTAAGATTAATATGGAAGGGCGGCATTTATCTTCCAACAAAAACAGTGTAAGATTGTTAGAAATGCAACTCTTTTTAAAAAAAGAAAGCTAAAGAAAAGCGTTTTTTTCATTGAACTGATTATATGTTGTTTCTCTTTTTAATATGAAATACGAATAATTAAGAATGTAATCTGATCCACAGATATTATTGAAATGTATAGCATTGCAACTGTTCTCCCCAAATTACATATTTGTACTTTGACATAGGTAACATTACTTTTTTCACAGTAAAATTTAATTTATTAAAAATAAAAACATAAAGCATTAACAGTGTCCCAATGAAATAATTGTTCGGGAACATAGAATGAATAACACATAGGTTTGTAGCGGCAAAATATCATCCGTTGTAAAAATACTAATACCCAAGACATTCCACGGGATAATAGTTTAGCTGTTACTCACAAACCTATGTTATTTATACACTGTCGTCTACATGTTGTCTACGAAAATTAAACCCATTAATCCAATGAAAGGAAATCACATAAACATTGATAAGGTAAACGTCTATTCGTAATCTAAATAACTTCAATAAAATGTCGATAAAATTAAATCTGATATATTTTCTGGACAAAAAGAAATCTCTGTCAGGAAACGGCTGACTGGTGTGTAATGATCACTAGTAAAAGCTTTCAAAGTATTGTATGTTAACAACTCCTCAAGTGATAGTCTGTTAGGAAATGAGGTCTTCTATGAGACGTTCTTTAAGAGGAAAGACAGAAACACTGACTAAAGTTTAGTTTCGCTCCGTTCATTAAAAAGTTGATAAAACGGGTTAAATCCGATTTAAGGAAAAATGCTGTTTATTATTGGATGTCCTTAACTTAAAAAAAAATATGATAATCACAAAATATTTCTTCTTGTAATAGTTACGTTATTTGTATGAATGACGTTCCTATTTCAATGTAACAACAAAGACACTTTAACAAGTATAAAGATATCAATTATGCAATGTCATTAAGATAATTGTTTCATTTTTCTCCTAATCAATTAATTGAAAACATTGAAAACTGACAGACTAACAGTGGCAAAAAAGAATAAAAAATATATAATAAATTTAGCTACCAACGGTATTTAGTTTATACATATAGTATTTTAAGAGTAATATGTCTTATTTATTATTATATAATAACTGTGTAATGCTGCAGCAATAGAGTTTTAGTGATGGAAGCAGGCAATTAATTTAATTCTTATTTTAACACAAGGCATATGTGTATACTGGGAATTCTTCTCGGACACACAACGTTTACAGTCCATTGTAAATATGAGATAAATTATTTAATATTGTATTATATTTAATGTGAACAGTGAAGGAGATTTTGTCGTAATAAAATAATACAATTCAAATGTAATGGCGTAAAAACAGAAATGTCGAAGGAACATCATTCAATTTTTTGTAACTTATAACTAATTTTACGCAAAGTAAAAAAATCGATTTCTATTTCAAAATATATTATATTGTCAAAAATACGGAAGTGGATAAAGTTAAATGTTTTAAAACATTTGGGTTATAACGTTTGAAAACTTCACTAACATATTCAATAAAATGCCTTTTGATTTATCGCACTAAACATTTGGAAGAAACGTTTGATAGATAAAGCATCGACCATATCTATTCTCACAGTTCTTAATTGACATTCAATGCACCAATAAACCAACATATGCAGTGAGATATCTATTCAAGTGACATAATTATTGCGAGGTATTGTCAATTCCTAAAGTTAATTCTTCATATTGATAAATCTATTTTATTATTGTGCCACTTGCGATTTGGACATAAAATGTCATTATGTGTCAATCTGATATCAATTATTTGCAATATGATTCGAGTACTAGCAAAAAAAATGTTATTTAATACATATATATTCAGGAGAGAAAAATTTACCTGATTGCAGTAACTGCGAAACCCTGCCGCTAGGACTTCACACTTGAGCTATTGGAATCAAAAGTGATCAGCCTTTGAAACCAGAAAATTGCAGATACGCCTTCACCCCATTGCTGTCTGACTTCTTGTAAACTGTTGGCAAATGTCTTAATCGTAATATCCCCAAAAAGTAATTGTGGACATTCATTTCAAGAAACTCAGCAGGTAAAACGGTTAAACTGGGTTTAACAGTATTACATTCATTGTCTCTCAAAATTCAAATGTTTGTCAATTGCACAACAATGATTTTGCATATTGAATATTCTCAGAAATAAATACTTGGCAATTTAATTAATCATCAGGACAAATAAAATTGTATATTTTGTCAAAACTGTCTTTGATATCATAACCAAGTTTGATATCTAGAAACAAGGAAAAATGTGATCATTGTTTGTCATGAAAAGAAATTAGTTCTTCAATTTCTGAAAAAAAAAGGAAATGTAAAGGCACGCATTAATTTGGGGACAATACGCTTTTCCTCATTGAATGACACGAAAGTGTCATATAGAAGAATTCATGATCACTACCGAACATGAACGCATTTATCTACTCATGTTTTGAAATAGTCATTTTCATGCTTAATTATTGTTATTCTCAATCAGGTGCCGGGGATTGACGCAGCTTGCATTTTTTGCTGCAATCTATGAAATGTTTCAATCAAACTGTTAGATTCAGATGAAATAGTGGTCAAAGTTTAGAATCTCTCCATTGTTTATTCACATACATTATTGCATACTTGTACGGGCTTTTATATTCCAAACATTTGTCTTTTCTTTCATTTACTTTAGGTTTAGAAAAAATCACTTTTAACACCTCATTCAAGTAAGGTTTAAACCCAGTATTAAGCAAGTAACGACTCTAACTAAAACACATTTGATCAAGACAATTGATTAGTTACGTCTACTGGGAAAAGAAATTTAGAGAGTTAGATGGATCAATGGCAAATATCAAAGACGATTCATATCAATTGATATTATTCATCTGTTTCTTCATTGCAGTTCGTTCGAAAACAAAGTATTTTGAAGAAACAAATGAGTATTTTCGGATAAAATGTATTATGTCCTGCAAGGCATGTTCCTTCAATAAGATTCATGTTTTATTGTTGTTAGTTTTAAGCTAAAAGACAATAAAACTTTTCATTGAATTTGATTCGTTGAAGTGAAAAATGTGCGGATGCATCAAAATAATCGATTATTTCAGAAAAAATTAATTCCGAAATATAATACCATAGAAATCATTATAAGAAAAAAATGTAAAATACATTCAGAAGTAACTCTGTAATGGTTACTTGAATTATCCATTAGCGTAAACAAAACGATATTTTGTCTTCTTAATCTCGGGTTCAGCATGGGATTTTTGTTGTGTTTGTGGTCTGCTGGACCACGTTACAGTTGGGCATTTTTAGTTTTAATGGTAACACAACCCTAAGGATTTGCTGCTGCTTTTAAATTGGTCTTTTCACGTTTCGTCTGTGATATGCAGGTTTCATAACCTGTGATCCCCTTTCAAATTTCCTTTTTATTTAGTTCAGGCCATTGTGGTCCCGTTTAGTGCACATACATTACTTTACTTGGGAACTATAAGCCGCTTTTCATGTAATGGCAAGAAGATATCAAATTGAAGCTTCCATGATTATCGCCGTATGGACACATCTGCGGCTGGTTTTCACCATTTTAATGTCTAAATTATGTCGCTGTAGGGGGAGGACGGTATTTTGAACTGTCCAGTACTGTCCATGAACATAGACAGAAACTATCAAAGTGAAGCTTCCATGATTATCGCCATATGGACACATCTGCGGATGGTTGTATTAATTCTGTCGCTAAAGGGCGAGGACGGTAGATTGCAGTGTCCAGTACTGTCCATGAACATGGACAATTAACCGAGCCTCCAACACGTTTTTTGCGTTCTTTAGAGCTATTCTCGATATTATTTTCGGAGGTTATGTTTGCGTTAAAGATGTATAGTGCCACGTTTTTTTTCAAATGAATCTCTTCTGAATGAATGAATTCTCTTAACAAATTCTCTTGTTATAAAAATACCTTTCAGAATCACAAAATTAAAAAAAAATGGGATCAAACAGTCGTGCAAATCGAGCAGGCGATGTAGCACCCACTGTGAATACATTACGTTTTTGCTACATATGTACTGAAGTCTTTCTAGTTGTAAAATCACTTTGATTACATGATTGGATAGAATATATGTATTGCAAAAAACGAATCACAATATAAGTAGATTTATCAGACTTGATTACACAGCTTATTATATCAATTGGTGTATTTTGAGCAACATTTAACGTTTCAAATGTTTGAACAAGAACACTTTATTAATGCATACACCAAATGTCTTTGAAATGCCAACTCAATTTTGCCATAAAATGTTATTTTCCTGCTTCTGAAGTAGATTACTTCAAATTTATGACCCAACAAATCAAAGTGTTGAATAACAGATGTCCTGCTGAAGGTAGACGTCATCAGCCGAGTTACCATCCGTCTGCAGGTGTTTCGCTCCATTTACACTCGGGACACCCTCGGGATGGTGGAGCAAGTAGGGTTGATCAGGCCCTACCCCGTCTACCTTGGCTGCCATTCATGTGTGCTACGGAGCATCCATAGCCAACTGGACGCTCTTTCGGCTGTTCTCCCCAGAGCATGGACTGTGCGCTTTCGTGCCGCTCCTTTGATGCCCAATGCTCCGAGCATCCTCCACACTGATTGTGATGGGAAGCCACGACATCCGACCTCAATCGGGAAGACCTGAGTGTTCCAGCCGTTGGACTTGCAGGATTGGGCCAAGTCTTCGTACTTGGACCTCTTGAGCTCGTGGGATTCTTCAATGCGTTCCTCCCATGGGACTGTCAGCTCAACCAGCACCACTCGTTTTGGATTCCTGGACCATATCACAATGTCTGGCCGGAGGGTAGTCTGGGCGATTTCCTGGGGGAACTGTAGTTGTTCCTTTAGGTCAGCCTTCATTTCCATGACCTGGATTCATTCAGGATTCCGGTCGATGCTGGGGCTGACTTGGGTACTTGTTCTCCCTCCTTCAGGAACCCGATGTAGCGGTTCTGGTTTGGCCTCGGTCTCTTTTTTCTTCCTTTCGGTCTCAAAAGGACATGGGCTACCTCAGACAGGACCTGGTCATGACGCCATCTGTAGCGCCCCTGAGATAGGGCTGTGGGGCATGATGACAGTACATGTTTGAGTGATCCTGGTGAACCACACAATGGACATGCCGGGTCGTCAATCAACTTCCACTGGTACAGGTTGGTAGGAGATGGGAGCATGTCGTAGATAGAACGAAGCAGGAAAACTCAGTCTGAGTGGCTCGTACTGCCAGATCTCTTGCCAGGATAATTTCCTTTCTGGAACCTGCCATCTTGTCCAGTTTCCCTGTGGTCCTAGCTGGACTGCCCTTGACATTCTTTCCTGCTCTGCTTCTTTCCTGATCTCGGTCTGTACTAGGGATCTTCTTTCCTGCTGTGTTGAAGTCTCCCATCTTTGGTGCTTCCTGGTGCCCCTAGTCCTTCTTTTCCTATGTTTGTCATACCCACAATGTCTTGGTGCTTTGAGACTGCTCTCTGCAAGCTCCACCGCACGACTCACTGACCACTTTCGCCCAGTCCTAACCTCGATGCCAGCGCCGCTGATCTTCTCGTCTTTGGAATCTCTCAGCGTTAGCAGAAGTCTGGTCTTAGCAACTTGAATTCCTCTACAATAGAGTTGATGGGCATCTGTAGCTTTGCTGTCTTGCTGTAGAGACCTATGTTGGTGAAGGATGGAGGCAGGCCTAACCATTCTTCTTAGGTGCTTGCTGACAGTCCGCTCCAGCTTCTCTACTGTACTGGTTGGAATATCGTTAACCATCATTGGCCAAACGAGTCTGGGTAGTAGATTGTGTTGGTACACCCAAGCCTTGAATTTCCCCGGAAGATCGCACTTGTCTATTCTTCTCAACCCCTCCTCCGCCTGTTGTTGAAGACGGGCTTGACTGCTCTTGTCTGATAGTGAGGTGTCGAACCACTTTCCCAAGCACTTGACTGGATTGTTGGACAGGGATGGGATGTCCTCTCCCTGTATGGTCATCTTGAATCTTTCCGTGACCTTTCCTTTCTTAATCACCAGGCTTCGTGACTTGGCTGGCTTGAACTGCATTCGGGCCCATGTCGCTGTTTCCTCTAGTGCCGTGAGTACCCATCGTGCTTGGATGTGAGTTTCCGTCGTGACGGTCATGTCGTCCATAAACCCACGGTTGGATGGTAGGCGATACCAGAGTTGGTCTTTGGCCTCGCGTTTCCACCTCTGCTGCCTTGATGATGATGTTCATGCCCATCACAAACAGTATAACAGAGATGGTACATCCAGTCACAATGCCTTTCTGTAGCTCAATCCAGTCTGTTGTGAACTGTTCACAAGAGAACCTCAGGTGAATGTTGCTGAAGTAACTCTGGATGAGTTTTGTGGCATGATCCGGGATGTGGTAGTGGTGCAGAGCTTCCAAGATCAGTTGTGTGGGATCGATCCATAGGCGTTCGCAAGATCTAACCAAAATGACACTGAGATCTTTGTGGTTGATCCTGGCCTCATGAAGCAGCTGCGGTTAGAGCGCTGGTGTGCTCTACGCACCCCGAGAAACCGGGTATTCCTCCCTTTTGGACTGAGGTGTTGATGTACTGGTTGCTTAACATGTACGAGGTCATTGCGGTTGGCCAGTATTGAGAAGAATATCTTGCCCTCAACACTTAGAAGTGATATGGTCCTGAACTGCTTTACTGTCTTAGAGTCTTTTCTCCTTGGGCACAAAGCAACCTTCGGCTTGTTTCCAGCAGTCTGGAACTGTTCCCTTCCTCCATACCACTTTCAACAGTTGCCAGAGACGTCCTCAGAAGCTTGGGGCACTTCTTATAAACTTTTGTAGAAATGCCACTCGGTCCAGGAGCTGAACATGACCGGGCCTTCATAACAACACTTGTCACTTCTTTTAAATGTTGGTTCCTTCAGATCTAGTGAATTGATGGGTTCTTCAACAGGAAGAATTCTGTCACAGTTGCCTAGCGGGTCGTGCCTCTTGGGTCTGAGTGTACATCCCGTAGGTGCTGCTCCACTTCGGTCTTACTACTCTTCATCTTTCCTGATCTTTCCTCTCCTAGTAGGTCCCTAGAAAATCTGTAAGGATTTGCTATGAAGGCGGCTCTCTTCTTTGCTTTGGTCTTCCTCTTTTTGGCCACTCTCTCTGCCGTAGTGAGGGTCTTCAGGCGTGACCTCAGCTGTCCTCTTCAACTGGGCGAGACCTTCTCTCTCAGTCTGGTTGGCACCCTTGAAACGCTTACGTAAAGTACGGAAGTTCTGTCCGGAGCCTCTTGATCTCACACTGCCTTCTGTTTGGGCGCGGTTGAGACTTCTCTTTGACTCTCCTTTCTTCACTTCTCCGAACCTCTCTCTTCCAAGGGTGTAGGCTATGGAAGGCAACACTTGTAGTTTCCTTTCCACAGCACCTGACAATGTTGACTGAAGGATCAGGTCCAAGTCATCGTCAAACGTCTTCCAGCTACTGTCGTTGGTATTGGGCCATGCGATCTTCGGTTTTCTTTCGCTTGATGTCGGTTGTCGTGGTCTTGATGTCTGATTCAGCTTGCCCTTGGTCTGGTACTTCCTGTGTTTCATGGAGTGGAGTTGTACTCTGTCTACTTTGTGCAAAGATTGGAGAACTACCTCCTGAAGTCACCCTTGGTCGATCTGTTCGAAATATTGGGGACTCTTCTCCATCTCCAGTGGGAGGAATTAGCTCCTCAGACGGCTCTGTTTGGTCTGTGGGATTTGCTGTACCGTTCTTGATGTCATCTGCAGTTAAGGAATGCACGGGAGCTGAGAGACAAGTAGCACTGTGGTTCGGCACCTGACTAGATATCTCCCCCGTCTCACCAGGGTTAACTGTGCGTTGTTCCTGTGTATTCCGTAGCTGACAGCCACTTCGAGTCTGGTGGATTTTCATCCCCCTCCTAATATATCTTATAAATTGTTTAGTTCCATTTCATCACGAAGAAGAATTATTACATAATTACATAATTCAATACCATTAGCGTTTTATCTTGCATTTTGAAAATTGAAGGAAACTGCACATTAGAGATCAATCTTATTACAATCAGTATTTAGTTGTAATTTTTGTATTTTAATATAATTAATAAACACAAATATCGACAACAAAAAATCATTGCAAAATACAAGAAATAAATTAAAGTAATTTTAAGGAAAGTGGAGCGGTGGCCTAAATATCTGCCTCTCAACCGAGGAATTGTGGGTTCGAGCCCTACTCGGGTCACGATTATGATTCCTCATATGACTTAAGTACTGGTTAGTTCCAGGAAGCAGATTTGAAATGGATTAATATAAGTTGCAAGAACTTGTTTCGCAATTGAGCTAAAATAAATATGTTTAAAATAATTTAAAGTAAAAAACTTAAGTATTTGCCATCAAAACTTCAAAAGTGGAGTATTGCTCGCGACATAAATATTATAGTACATATATTTTATTAATATGCTATTTTGAGATAAACATTTGGCTATTGATTTTCCCATGCTTTGAAACAGATTTAGAAATAAAATAGAAAGCTTTCTATACTTGTTTATCTTGATGTAATCATTAACGAAATAAAAATGTTTACCAGGATATACATTATGATCAAAGGTCTGCATTCCAGTTACATAAATTCGATTTCTGAGAACTGATTACGCGACAACGTAGTCATAAAATATGACGAAAAGCATGATTAAAAACTTTAATCTCAGGATGATGCTACAACATGTCCGTATTGTACAGCAATGACTTTGCATATTGTGTATAATGAGGTAATACTTAGCTCAATAAAATTGACATCCAGATAAGAAAATTGTGTTTTTAATAATGAAAATACTTTGTTTGAAATTAACTACTACATTCGTTTACTATTGTCTTTCTTTATCAAAATGTTATATTTAATTAATACGACATTGATATAGAAATAACCCAGTAAATGGAACACCAGAAAGGGTTATAGGCTTCCCTTAGTAAGGTATTTTAATTCTCCCGTGAACAGCTTTCTCAATTATTTGTTTAGGAAATAGCGTTGTTGTAGAACACTGCAAGCTTTGGCTGCGTTCTATGAACGTTGCCTTTGCCTTGTTGATTTTTGTTCTCGTCCTTTTCGACTTTAGATGCACAGTAATATAAATCACGAGGTTGGTAGGCCTTAGTGATTAATTACAAAGCATTAAAACGATGAACCATAGATAATTATTCTTTTATACACTTGCTATATTTCAAAGCAACAAGTTTGTTACATTGAATAATCAAAAATACCATGTTGTATACAAACTTTGTTTTAAGAAATAGTAAACAGTTAAAGGTAATAAAACTTGATAAAAGTTTGTTATATTCCAGTATATTGTTAAGTTAAATAAAATAAAACCATTCATTCTTAATGCCTTATCTGCAGATTGTTTTACTTTGAAATAGATGCTACATTTAAATAATAGGTTTTAAAAGACAAACCTAAAAATACGTCAACTATTTACATTACCCTCACAAACAATAATATCCATCTCAAAAACCCAATTATCCTGTAGAGTGCCTTCTTGTTGTAAAGACATCTAGGTTTTAAACATAAGTAATAAGTAATTTTTTTCTGTTGTAGCTTGTCTTTCTTCATTAAATGAGATAAACTGATTTATAACGATTGATTTAATTCTCATTAAATACGTTGCATATCATAATAAATGAATTTTTTAAAATCATTGTAAATTTTTTTTCCTGTTTGTGATGAAACTGTCGCCGAAACTTAATTCGGTTAGTTTATTCAATGTCATTTTCAAGGACATGTTTACAACAGTTATTATATTGTACATGTTTTTTCTTTGAACATTATTTGTGTCTCTCAGATCACTCTTGATAAGATAAAAGTGTTTCATTTTATTTATAAAATTATTATTGGCATTTTTTGG